CAGGTCAGGCAGAGTTTGCTCTAAAAAAACGAGAAAACGAAGCAAGGAAATATCGGTTTAACAACAATTTAATTATAAAATAGCCCTGAATAATTTAATGTCATAACAATAAAATCTAACAATTAAATGAAAATTGAATTTAAAAAAATATTTAAAGCAAAGAAAACACCTAGACTAGAACCTCGGATCTCTCGAATAGCACGCTAGGGCTTTGCTCAGCCGCCTTTCTCTGTTTGTCTTCATCGCCCATTTTTGGTGAGTTTTTTGTAACTTTCTCTTACCGAATACCAAAATCGTTTTCGGGCGGAGCCGAACATTAAGTACCCGGCGCAAGTATTCAATATAGTTTTTTCACCTTTCCGAAAACTACTGATAGGGGTGGTTTTACCCCTATTTCAAATATCTTCGATAGAACGTTTAATTAGACATAATGAGATAAACTTATATAGTTCTATGTGGGCGGTATTACGCCCGTTTTCCAAAATTCCATATTAATGTTATGTACTTCTTTTCGAGTGATTGTTGCTTGAGTAAATTAGCGTACTTTAAAAATCAACGCGATTTTCTAGCGTCTTGAAATTCGCACTTTAATCTACTAAAATTTAATGGGCTATAAAACTGCATACCAAAAATTTTTCAAAAAAATCTAATTAAAAAGTTTGAAATATTTGGGGGATTTTGGTAAAAATTTTTGAATACGTATAATTTTTGTACAAAATTTTAAATGGAGATTTATGCGGTGCGTGTTATATAAGGCGCTAGACTTTTATAAGAAAATATTAAACATCGAATAAACAAAAGTAATATAGCCAAAACTGGGCAAAATAAAAAAGTTGCCATTGTTTTTTCCACCACTGTACCGTAATTGTACTAGTGTTCAAATTTTTTTGCATTGTTAATAGTTTTTTGTGTATATTTGAAAAATTTCTGGCAACAATCATTATTATTTTTACTTATCAATATTTAAGTACCTACATAGAATAAATATGAATGTCGGCTTAATTGTTAGTAACACACTTATCTTATCGGCCCATTTGCGCATTTGTTTTTGATAGCGGATAACACAAATGAACACGGGTAAGATAGCGGGGCAATTTGTTATACTAATTTCAGTATCGCAATAAAATCGATAAGGTAATGGATAGGGGTAAAATAATATTTACTTTGGTCAAATAAATTGAACAGTAGATTTCCGTGAAATTTTTCCATAACTTTATTTTTTCTAGTTAATTAAATAAATAAGCTTGAGTAAATTGACTGTAAACAAGTTTTGCAAAAAAAAAAATATATAAATAAACAACGTAAATATGTACTTTGCAATAAAAATTAAAACTAAAATATTTAAATTCTATCAAAACCTTGTGCAAAATTAATGAAAATTCTGCAAATTTTCATCAAAATATGTATTACACTTTTTAATTACACTCTTTAGAAAAAAAAACTGAGTATGCACTTTTTTAGCCCATACAATTTTAGTATAATAATGTGCAAGTCTGAGGTATGTAGGACTTACCAATGATTTTTGACAATTTGTTTGTTGAAGGTGTCGCTCATTTTTTTATATGGAGAAAATGAACGACACCTTCAACAAAAAAATTTGCCAAAACTCATTGGTAAGTCCTAGCTACCTCAGACTGGCACATTATTATACTAAAATTGTATGAGCTAAAAAACTGCATACTCAGTTTTTTTCGAAATAGTGTAATTAAATAATGTAGTATATTGATGAAAATTTGCAGAATTTTCTTAAATTTTGCACAAGGTTTGCAGCTCGGATTTTTTGGGGTCATGATCACAGAACTAACCATATTTTTTATATATATAAAAAAAATAAACACAAAGTTGCCCGTATTGCAAAATAATCGCTGTACCTAAACTTTGTTGATTGACTGTATCTTCCCAAATCTGAGTAATATCGGACTTTCCATCAGCATCAACCTTGACCAATTGGTCTAGAGGACAGTTATTGGCCTAGCAAATGAATACAATAAAAAGTGTTGTGACTGTCGTTAACAAAGTTGATAATTGGTGCTAATTTTATCACAATTAACTTGAGTTTACAGCAACACAAAAAATACTCATTTGTACGTAATAGAGGGACTAATCGACTTGTTTTTTTTATATAATCAAGTTCAGAGTCACTGCTATTTAGGAAAAAAGCATGTAATGAATATGACAATATAAAACTTTTTTAGTGAAAATATACACATGTACGTAGCTACTTGGTGGCAGGTATCCGTTCATCCTTATTGGCTGCAGGGCCATGCGGCAGAGAGTTCTGGACATTGGCCACTGGGGCGTCATGAATATTCTTACAGTGATTTTCTATGGTCTTGCAACTCCGTAAGTCGCTAAATTTCCTGATACAATTAAATATTGGGCGTTTTTCTTATCCGACAGCATTTTAAGCTCTTTGCACTCACTTCTTTCGGCCTCTCTGTTTATAATGGTATATCGCAGCGTGGCTTTGTAGGATGTAGGAAATCATCAAGCAAGATTTTGATATCGTTACAGGGCAGCGCTCGTAGCTGTTCGGACACACTTGGTTTTGTCATTTGACAGAAATTACGCTTTCACGATTCTGTTATTTTCGACATACTCGTATCAGTAATATTTATTATTGCCTAATATCTAGCACTAGTAAATCAATCAATCGTAAATGATGAAGGAAAACAACGATAAAAACCTCACCACACCACAAAATTAGAATCATACATGCACAGAAAGGTAGCAAAAACCTGAAAGCAATGGAAAGTGTAAGTGCAAGTATGCACCTACACTGGCGGCGGAAATAATAGACTCGTCGTACTTTTAAGAATTTTGGCTATACATATTTCATTAGGTTATTTTATGTTTAATATATATTTTTTTTTAAATCGTGACTAGTTGTACAACAAACATCATATAAATCCGCATTTCAAACTTTGAACAAAAATTTTCAGACTTTTTATTCAGAATTTTTAGAAAAATCTTTCGTATGCAGTTTTGTAGCCCATTCAATTTTAGTATAATAAAGTGCAAGTTTTAATCGGCTACAAAAGATTTTTTTTACTGACGGTGGCACTCATTTTTTCCCATTCAAAATGTGCTCGACAATTTTTTTTTATATGGAAGAGAATGCCTAGCACGTCAACAAAAAAAAAATTGTCAAAAATTAACGGTATTTTCTAGCCACTTGAAACTTGCACTAAAATTTAATGGGCTACAAAACTACATACGAAAATTTTCTTCTTCTTTTCTGAATAAAAACTTTGAAAATTTTTGTTCAAAGTTTAAAAAGCGGATTTATATGATGTTTGTTGTATAACTAGCCACGATTATATAAAAAAAATACTAAACATAAAATAACCTGAAGAAATATATTGCCAAAATAAATAGAATAAAAAGTTTAAAAATTTGTTGAAAAATTTCTCGAATTCTTACAATTTTTGTATTAAGTTTGAAAAGGGGATTTATATGGTGTTTGTTGTATAACTTTCCAGGCTTTTATAAAAAAATATTAAACATAAAATAAAACACGGAAATCTAGCCAAAACTCTTCAAAGTAAGGCGAGTCTATTATTTCTGTCGCCAGTGTACATTACTTCTTTGATACTCGTATCAGGCGTAATCAACATTTTCAATCTACTTACATACGTACATATGTACATAGTATATTCGTACATATTTACAAGTGCTATTTTTATTTTAATAAAAAAGGGTCTAACTGAAAACAAACACAAAGGGAAAGGCGATAGATGTGTACATACATACATATATACATTAGAGTGCATCACAAAAAAAAATAAATATTTTAAGGCTTCCGGAGAAATATTTCTAAAAAATATTAAGGTTTACGTGAGCTAGAATGATTTGAAAATATGTGTTTCCAAAAAGCTCATTATTTTAATCCCGTTGATACAATTTTAAAATATTTTTAAGCAGACCTTTTAAGATTAAACTCTTTATCCTCTAAGGTTATTTTTAAGGAAAATTATTTTCAAAAACTAATTATATGTATTTATATAAAACTGTTTTCAAATTCGTCCACCTCACGTAAAGCTTAATATTTTTCCGAAAAACAGTATCTACCATATATATATTTTTTTGTATGGAGAGTGATACACCCTAACGTACATATATACAAACAAATAAGGGAATACTCAATAAAGTATACACAGGAAAAGGCGGCGTATTGCAATCGCAGCAAAAATTGAGCCACACTAAGCGAGCGTGTTTATATTGCTTTGACTAGTAGAGCTGATAGCGGTATATAAGTATTTTTTTTTTATTTCATTTTGTTTAATTTTTGTACATTTTATTTTTCTTTTTTGTGTTTTCATGCCTCAGGTGTTGTTAGCAACTTTCCTGAGCAGCAAACGAATATTCGTATTTTGAACGTTGAAGCGCTCGCAGCTTTCGTGCGGAGTATTTTGCAATCCAACTAAAAAACGAACGGTTTAAAGTTAAAGACATAAAACAAGTATTTGATCGCATTTTTCAAGTCGATATTATTACAAAATATCTAAAATAAAGAAAATAAAGACCATTTATAAAAATAAATTCTACGGCAAAGCGCTGTGGCGTTGCTGTAACGCCATGTGCAGCTTAGTGTGACGCCAACCCAGTCGTTTATGGGACGAACGAAAAAAGAAAATTAATTACAATTCGCAAGATTTGTGCAATAATTGTGATAGGTGAGCTCGCGCGCCGCATCCAAATACATACATATCTGGCTGAGTATGTACATATAGCGTTGGATATAAAATCAAATTTGTAATTCTAATGACGCTTAATTGCTAATTCATTGACTTGAGCGTTTTACAAAGAAAATAATAAAATTTTGCTCACCGCTCGAGTCAGTTAGTTCGTTGGTCAAAGTCATTGCGCTGGCAAAGCGAGTGCAGAAATTTTAATTCAAAACCGTACAGTAACTCAGTGTTTGCGCCTTAATGAACAGTTAATTGAATAACAAACTTAAGTGACTTTATTTTATTCTATTTTTTTTTTACAAAATCTAGAAAATTACATCAGCGCTGCAGTATTACATAAAAAATAATAAGACTAGTGGGTTAAGTGTAGAGCGCCATTCTACATGCATATATCTACATATACATAATTACATATGTATGTATTAGTACAAAAATATAAATAAATTTTGTACAGCAATTAGAAATACATATTAGATAAAAAAAAAAAAATAGTGAACACAACTGTGCCAGTGTTAATAATAAAGTGCACAACGACAAAATGTTGAAAATATTCAAGAGCAAGAAAGACAAGTTACCGAAATCGGAAATCATCACCTGTGAGCCGCAGGTGACCAAAGAGCCGCGTACAAAATGCGGTAAACCGCTAGTATTGGATAACACACGATGGGAGGCAAGTATTGATAGATACTAAGAGTGTATGTATGTATGTATTTCTACAACAATTATTTCTACATATCCACTATAACGGCCCGTCTACACAGGCAAAAGTTTTTGCGTACCAGCTGTCATTTTTATTGCCTGATATAAATTTTATCAGAGACAATATTTGTGCGTGGGCATTTTTTATCTTGATAAAAGCATTTGTAAGATGGCTATTTTCGCCGAATTTAATCACTTAAAAAATTTGCTATTTCACATTCAAGCACATAATAACAAATATTTTAATAGAAAACAGCTACATTATTTTAAATTAAAATATCAATAATGTTGCCGCCACGAAGTTATCGCGCAAATGAAAATGTAGCTGTCGAAAGTACCAAATTGCTGTCAATATTTATCAAGTTAAAAGCTCTGATAATTATTGCTTGCCAAAGTATTGCCTGATAACTTTAACATGATAAAAAGTTTTGCTTGTGGAGACAGCAAGTAAGTAAAGATATTGAAATGAAACAAAGAAAATATCTTAAAGTGGGTTTAAATAATGTTTTCCATAGGAGTACTAGTATGTATTAATTAATTCAGGTTGCAGATACTAAAAACGAAGAAAATAAGAAAGGTCTTTTTAAAAAATTTAAATGAAATGGACATTCTAAACTCCCAAATCAACCCCGAAATTGAAGTAGTTTGTTTTTGCTCTATGTAGTCCCAAAGGCCTTATTGAAAGTCGAGAGATCTTCTGCCTTCTTCTCTACATCTTTCTATTTTGTATGGAGTGGCACAAATTAAGGCCATAGAAGGGCTTCCAGAAAGGTTTTTTGTAGAACGTACCTACTTCAGAAGGCCATTTGGAGGAGTAATTGTAATGTTGCTTCTTTAATTCATTGATTCTTCAAATTATGCATAGGAATATTTTCTTTATAGAGTTTTCATTAAATTCTGGTAAAAAAATGCAAGTTCAGAGTTAGTCAAAAAATCGCGTTGATTTTTGAGATTTTTTTGTTAAAGGTGTTTTGCATTTTTTCCATATAAAGTATTTTCGAAACAAATTTTTTGTATGGAAGAGACTGTGTGAAAAAAAATTGCCAAAAATCAACGGTAATTCCTAGCTACTTAAAACTTGCACTTTATTATGATATTGAAATTGATTGGGCTGCAAACCTGCATACTCAAAAAAATTCTAAAAAATCTGATTAAAAAGTTGAAAATTTTCATGTAAATTTGCTGAATTTTCGCGAGTTTTGCACAAAGTTTAAATTATTAAATTATATTTTTGTGTTTTTTGTTGTAGAATGAACCATATTTTTATACGAAATTGGCGGAAAAATATTAGAATGAAAATTGTTGCGATATTGTGAAAAATTTGCTGTGCCAATACTTTGTTCCGGCAGTGTATGAAAATGTTTAAATATGTCAGTTGCAAAAGTTTTGTCACCGCTACAGAATTGGTTAGTATTAGTTTGTGTTCGACAATGTGCAAACACTCCCTCTCACTTGATTAAGGCCAAATATTTTCCTTTTGTTTTTGTACAATTTTTTGTGTCAAATTTATTTTCAGAGTCGTAAAAAAATTAATTTTTGGCACAGATTTAGCGGAATTAGATGCCGCATGGAGTATTCAACGCTTATCATTCGCATTTGCGACTTCAGAAGTTCGTCCTTTAAAATTTTTTCCGTAGTTATCAACATCGCGAAGATAATTGTTGACAACCGTTTTACTCCTGTCGTCCTGACCGTCATCGAAGAACAACAACTATCTAAACAACAACAGCTGCTATACTTTTGCGTAATTCCTCACCGATTTTTGTAGCAGGATAAATTCCTATGTAGCCATAACAAGATCCTACATACCCAAACAAATTCCTATGTGTGAAGACGTCCGGAACGTCACGAACCCATCCTCCACATGCTCACTCAAACCAACTCATCTAATACCCTTTTACCGATGTCGAAACTGTTCGTTTCCTTGGTCTAAGATTGGCAAAAACACTCAAGTGGAATCATGGACTTAGGCAAGGTTTACTTAGTTCTGGTTTCTCTAACTCAACTTAACTTAGTTTAGCCATTTTTTGGATTTAAGTCAAAAGTTAGCCTACTTTTTACACAGCTTATTCTTGACTAAGCCAAAAAAATTGGCTAAACTAAGTTAAGTTGAGTTGAAGAAACCAACCCATAGTATTCTTCATATGTATCGCTTATCAAGACATAGCAAAAATTACTTTCAAGTTTTTCAATGATTAACGGGTTTAGAAGTTGTTTTCTTTGCCCCTGCACGTTGAATCGCCGCGCTTATATCGCAAACGAAAACTGATTTTCAAAGCTGATGCCGTTATACGTAATCCTGCTGAAATCATCATACTACATTTGTTCAATTTAATACTGCTTTAACAACTCTTTGCTCCAAACCTATCAGAAGTTTGGTGAGCTGTCGAGTCCATAGTAGTCGTAAAGCGTTCTCACAAATCGTAGGTAAACTGTCACTAGCAGTTTGGTACTTTTTTAACGAGGCAAAGAAGATCGTTTGACATCGTTTTGTGTTTGTTTTATGGCAATTTGTCATAGTTTTATGCTCCTTTTCTGGCGAAAAGTAATTGAACTACTTAGAAAAAACACACCGAAAAAGTATGCAGCGCTTAAATATAGTGATATTACCGGCCAGTAAAATACCGCACAAACACAATATCAAACGGGCTGGAAACACTCATAGTCACAATAATTCCGCATTCTTAAGAAGTATAGCGCACCAAATATCGCAAATGAATCGACATTCGACGCCATTTTCGAAAGTTATTTCTTCTTCCAGTAGATTCATTTAACCATATATATACGCCATCTTGTTTAAAGCAAAATTTTCAATGAGTGATTTGTCTGAAAATGAAAATAATTAAATCAGTAAAAATTACCTTCAATTCAAGCACACCCAAAAAAGTGCAATACTAATACGACTTACGTCAAGCTAATGAAAGCTTCCGAGGTCATCTTACTTAAGACGCACGCACACCAAAAATGTGATAGGGGTACAGCCTTAAAGTTACAAAAGCTGAATTCTTAAACGCATTAATTTATTTATTTGAGGTAAAGTCGAAAAATATCCGGAGCACTCTTTTTAGAAAATAACTGATACATAGGACTTTCGACAAACCAAAAGAACTAATGCAAAAAAAAAACATTTTTATAAATTCCTATAAAATCAAAATATTACTATTAGTTAACTTCCGGAAGCATTGCTTTTACATAGAAATAAACCATTCAATCGAAAAAATACACAACAATAGAAATAGTAATCAATTGTAATTTACAACTTTCAGTTTTAACGCCTAACTAATTACATATTATTTTACATAATTTCCATTGTTGGAGTTCCATAGAATTTTGAATTGAACTTAAAAGCAACTCATGCAATGCCGTCATTAATAATAGTAGTTGCAGCGTAGAGCAGCTTTGTTACATTATCATATTTTTGTTTATCTAGTATTTTTTATGACGTGCTAGCATTTTTTTGACGTGTTGTATTAGTCATACACATGTATGTATAGTAATAATACAAAAAACAATTGTTTTATAGCAGACTTCTTGGCGATCCCTTGGCCCATTTATAGAAATGGAAAAATTCATACTTAAAACTAGCAAATACCGTGCGTGCTTCGCCTTAATAGTATTTTTGTGCTGTTTGATACTCGTATTATAACATTTCGTTTATTTTATCAATTTATTTGAATAAAATTTTTCAAACAGATGGCAACCCTCCTCAAACATATTCCCGGCAGTAAACTTGCTTAAATCACTTCAGATGGATACCCATATTGCAATATTCAATTAACCTTATTAAATTAAATTAAAATTTTCAAACAGGTGGCAACTTTCAACAGAAGTATTTTTGGCAGTGAGGCTTTTTAAACGTCATTCCTTTGACAGCCTATTGCAATATTTAATATTTACTTCATTTGGTCAATTTATTTAAACTGCAATTTTCAAATAGGTGGCAACTCTCTAACAATTTTCTTTCTATATTTTAAGTTAGACCTCTAGCAATACACAGGTGAAAACTCCATTCAACTTCATGCATTAGCTTTCCAGTGATGCGGGTACAAACATACCGACAGACAGACATACAAAAATTCTAAAAAGTTGTATGCCGGTTTTCAAGAGAAATTTTTTCATTGCAGAGATACACTCGGAGGTTTTCCATTGTCTGTCGAGGATCACCCGCTATTAGGAGCATTTAGCTCCTTCAAGTGTCAAACTGTGGTTGCCAAATAACTTAATACTTCGATTTTTGTTATCTTATCATTTATTTGCTGACAATAATAACGTTTTCTAATTAATCACACAGCAAATATGAGTTTTTGTGCAAACAATAATACTCAAAAACAACTCAGGATATATGTACTTACACACAACATACACTCCGCGGCAAAACGATAGCACCTCAACATTTTTACCACTTTTGACAATTTTGTGTTTGTCTTTTTTTTTAATGCGCAGTAATTTTTTATAAAAGATACACATAAATCCGAATTTCAGACTTTATACGAAAATTAGATAAAATTCCACAGAATTTCATCTAAATTCTAAGTTTTTAAATTCTTGAAAAAAAATTATAATGCAGTTTTATAGCCTTTTAAGTATTTTTTATAAGGAAGAATTAACTCGATTTTTTAACAACTTCAAACTTGCGCTTTATTATACTAAAATTTAATAAGCTTGGAATTTTGATGATTTTTTATGATTTTTGTACCAAGCTTGCGATTTGATTTTATATGGTTTTTGTTAGATAATGAGCTATACCTTTATAAAAGATTAACGAACATTCAGCAAACAAAAGTAAAATAGTCAAAAGTGGTAAAAAATGGTGAGCTGCTATCATTTTGCCGAGTACTGTATGTGCACCTACTCTCACATTGTATTTATGTACAAATGTTTTTTTTTTCAAATTCAATTTTATCCGCTGAGAAAGTAAACTTCGTAAATAAATACCGCCTACACATTGGTGTACTTTATTTTTCAGCAAAATTTTATCTTATCAATAGTAAGCTCTATACAACCCTATTGACGTACATACTTGCGGAAAATGTGAATCATTTCCATTTAAATACATACACATGCAAATATACATATATGTATATATTCAGCTTATTAACTTCTGAAGTCTACATTAACCATTAGATTTTTACACTTCCTGCTAGGCTGTAGAAATGAATTTTATTTGGACTGTAACGCTATGTGAGAGCTTTAGATAAAAATGTGGTCTGTCTTATGGCATATATACAGTCAATTCCCACGTGATTGCTAATATTACCTCAAAAAAATCTTTGATTAGCGGATTCGTTGCTACCTACCATTCAGTTTTCTTTTGCAGAAAGCTCATAAAAATTAATTCATAAGCAATTTTAATTTATTTTTACTATAATTAATATGTAAAAAATCTTTGATTAGCGGATTCGATGCTACCTACCATTCAGTTTTCTTTTGCAGAAAGCTCATAAAAATTAATTCATAAGCAATTTTAATTTATTTTTATTATAATTAATATGTAAGTGGATGGATATGAATTACCTACCGTCAAAATATCTTTAAAATCTAACGAATTTAAGCTTCTACCTACAAAGAATTTTGATTATTAACCGCCCCAAGCCTTTCAACCAACAATAAGCCTAAACCCTCATAATCGGTCGTTTAGCTGAAGGCCAAAAAGTGCAAGCACTTTTGTTGAATGTATGTGCACGTACACTGATAATAAAATCGAAATAATAAAATAAATTATGAGTTTTCGCAATAGAAATTTGCAATTTATGCCTTTATAAACACTAATCAACGTGACTTTATTGCTGTAGCTATTTTTTTTAATAATTTACCCATCTATTGCTCTTTCTCATTACAGAGAAGACTGCATAAAGAGTTGATGTCGCTGATAAAGGAACCGCCACCGGGTGTTACCGTTGATACCGATAGTATAGGACAAAATTTATCAGAGTGAGTTGCAATAAAACAAGTTATCTACTATATGTTGTTTGAGCTTTATTGCAAAACTAAATCATAAATACATTATTTCTTCTGTTTTTTAGATGGAAAATAAATATTGCCGGTTTCGAGGGTACTCTGTATGAGGGCGAAAACTTTCAGCTGCTTTTCAAGTTCAACAATAAATATCCCTTCGATTCGCCAGAGGTAAAGTGCCTACATATAAATACTCGTGCGTTTGTTTGTATGCTATTTAAACTGTTTTTTTTTTTTTTGCTATTTCAGGTGACGTTTATTGGCAATAATATACCCGTGCATCCGCACGTCTACTCCAATGGACATATCTGCCTTTCTATATTGACAGAGGATTGGTCGCCAGCGCTATCAGTACAATCTGTCTGTCTGAGCATAGCATCGATGCTAAGTAGTTGTCGCGAAAAGAAACGTCCACCAGACAATACACTCTATGTGAAAACCTGTAATAAAAATCCGAAAAAGACTAAATGGTGGTATCATGGTGAGTTTGAAATATGTAATTTATTTGACGGAAAACATAAATGTAACATCAAACTACTTATGTATGTATGTAGCAAAGTTAGCGCCCACAGACCTTCTTCAATTCGTTACATTTCGTGGGGTAAATTTTAAGCTGACTAATATTTTCGTTAATCAGGACAGCTCCTCCAATTTTGCTGTATCAAAAAAAAAACATTATCCTAGGGCTCTGGAGTGCATTATTTGCACTGAAATAAATTCACGAGAAAGTTCTGAGTGGCTTCTGTCTTCTTTTCATGACTAAAACTTCAATAGAAACCTTCATGGTAAACTCCTAACTGGATAAGCGTATGACATAGGCTTCAATGTATTCCTGACATTCAAGAAGTGGATTCATCATTTAGAGGCTCATCAAGTTTCTTTTTCATCAATCTTCTTACGTTGACCAACGGGCGCGATGCCTTTTTTGAATGCAGTATTTCCATATGCTGAAACGAGATTTTAACTGAGATTCTTTTCTCCGTACATGCGATATGCTCCTAGCATGATAACCAGGTTAGCTGGAAGCACGTAGTTTGCGCTCCTACAAAATCAACACTAATGGTTTGCAGAATATTAGCCGGAAAATCACAGCCGTGCAGCCCTTATATATCATGGGGTACACCATGATAGTAACATGTAGAGCGTTGAGATGGTTCGAAAGTAAAGTCTTCAACGCAGTAAGAGATCGCTTATCGCCATGACAAGAGGAAGAGCGATCTCAAGAACACTGTGGGAAGAAATCAAATCCAAGATACCCATTTCCCAGTTCAACAGATTGGAATTGTCCGGAGAATATTTGTGAAAAAATTCATGCTCGATTTATGCAGCACAATGCTACAAAAGTGATAAGAGCCGGACGTGGTTGATAGGCTGGCAAATTATGCAACAGCTACCCGACAAATGGCATAAGAACCCTTCCTTGCTAAAAGGACAATATACCATCAGGGAAGAATTAGCAACTGAGCAAGCCGACTACAGCAAGCCGAAAAACCATAAGCAGTTACGACTTCGACAGATTTATTAATTCAATCGCTCTTCTTTAAGGCGAATAATAACTACTACAAATCTTTAAGAAGAGTTCTAGACCACAAAGCTTTAAGGAGAGTTCTAGTCGAGGTTACACCATTCACATAAAACAAATATACATACATAACAAATTACACATAGAACAAAAATTTTTTTTTTTAGCGTATAATAATAAATATCTTACTCATAACTCTCTTTTTTCAATCGTTTTCAGACGATTCTGTCTAGTGGAAGGCGATTGCTGCTGCCGACCGGTTAACATATAAGCTATTCGCTGCACTGACAAACTCATTGCTGGTACTTAGAATGGAACTACAACAACAAATTACGCAAATATACACTGAGAGTAAATTGTCTGTGAAAAAAATACGTCGACGCGTAAAGCTCAAACGTAAACACGCTTGCGCAAAATTACATTAATTAAAAATTATTCATATATTGCAAAAGGATAAACAAAAACAAGAAAAAAACGAAAGCAAGGTAACAGCTACCAACGACAGCAATCAACAAAAAGAAAGTCGCTTGAGTTGTGGGACGTTTGAGCTGAAAGCAGTGTGGAGACGTAAATGTGCGTAGGCGTAAGCGTGAAAAATATCGTATTTTAAATTAAAATTTATTTTTATTATTATATAACTTTACTTTACCTTAACAAAACGACAAGAACGGCAAGAAAAGCAAGAATAAAATATATCTATACATAAATAAATAGTAAGCAGCAACTTTGTGAGATGCAGACATATTATACATGAAACACACCTACATAAATAATGACCGGCATACTTAACTAAAAAATAAATAAAGGCAAACAGACAATGTAAAAAGTGACCAAATTTTCGAAAATAATAAAATTAAATACTTAAAATGCGACGCTTGTATAAATTTCTAGATTAAAATATGCGAAAAGACAATTTTTTTTTTAACTTAACCTCAAAATTGAAGAAATTTATATATGCTAAATATTTCGAAAGCCATTGTCTTAAAATGCCAATGGGTTCAACATTATTTAGCTGAATTCATGTTATTATTTTTACGTTCTTGGCTCTGTTAAACAATTAGTATGTCAGTAGTAGTAGTAGTATTGTAAACCCAAAAAATGTGTTATGTTTCTTTAACAAATTGCGCAAAAGTGGCGATGACGATTTTAATAATGGCAAAAACCGCTTTGCCAAGGCAGCAGGAACATTCCACTATATGTTTGCTGAAAGTGCAATAAAACCAGAAGTATGCCATCATTATTTATTTGGAAGAGCCGGTATGATTAAATTAAATATCAGATAAAAAAATATGTAGGTATGCTTATGAAAGTAAAACTTAGTACTGTAGAGAAGAGAAAGAAAGAGATATCAAAGTAATTAAATATAATCCACGGCTGCATAATAACTAACATAAGTAATAGAAATTTCTTGAAATGCTAACTTTTTTCGAGCAACCATCATTACCCTTGTCTGCGCTTTAAACATCAATATCTTTACTAAGTTTGCTTAGCGTTACTAATGTATGTTTGGTTTCTTTTGCATAGTCAGTTTGTAGTTCTAACACTTTGGTGCAATTCTACTGTATCGTTTGTATTCTTAATTTTGAGTTGTCAACTGTTCTGTTGCCATTTCAGTACATTTGTGATTTCCTTTTCTAAATGATCTACTTATATAAGATATGCGTATACACATACATACTTACTTACTTATATATATACATAGTGTATTAATTACATTTTCCTTATAAAATCAGTAATTGCCAATTCTTTAATCATACATCTTAGACATACATACATACATATATTTACCTGTAGGATGCGGTATATTGCCGCTCTATTAAATATGTATGTGATAATTTTATATCTCTCCACGCGTAATTATAACTTTGTAATATTGTGTTTGTCCTTGTGTACTTTTGATTTTTTGTTTAATATATGCATATATTGTAGTTAAGTCGATTTAAGTGTAAGTCAAACTTAAAGTATAAAATTAAAAAATGTGTAACACGTCTTGAAACAATCTTAATAATGCAAGTAAATGCGTGTCATTGTCAAGTATTCAAAAATAATAAAAAAAAACTTATGATTATAATTCATACATAAATATGGAAACGTATTTGTTTTTATTTAAATGTCGGTTAAGCCGATGGAAACCTTTAAAAAATAATCTATAACAAATTGCGCAATAGAAATACATAAAGCGAGCCACAAAAGCCTACGCGCAGAGAATTTTTACGACGTATGCAAAGCTTTTATTTTGATTTCATTTATTTTTTTATAAAAATAAAACTCAAAAAAATTTAAAACATTTGCAAAAAAAATTTTAAAGTCTAATCAGATTTTTTTTTTTTTAACTTTGATAGTTTAGTAGCCGACTAAAATGTAATAGGCTACAAAATGTGTATATGAAGATTATATGAAATGCGCACAATCAAAATTTTTGTGAAAAATCTGATTAGAAACTTGAAAAAGTGTATGAAAATTTACTAAATTTTCCATGAAATTTTTGCAAGAAGTTTAGATTTTTTTTTGTTTTTTTTTTTGTAGTACAAAAAATTTGTTTATAAAAAAAATCGAAAACACATACTGTTGTGGTTCGCTTAAACCAATTATAAGTGGAAACCGGCTTAATGATTTTTATTTTTAACGGAATGGCAGCGCTTTTTTAATGCCCAAATTTGTCAATAAATGTACTATTCGAAACTCTAGCTGCAAACCCTAAGTACTGATATAACCGCACGTTCTCTCCAAACCGACTGCCGTTTGACGAAGTTGTATTGAAGTATGTTCCAAAGGTAAGTTTTTCTCCCAATCTATCAGACAGCGTGACCAGCTTTTAAATTTCGATTACTAAATTCTTTAGTTGTTAGAAACTGAATTCGGAGTTCAGAGGAAAACAATGAAGCAGAAATGCGTATTAGAGCATAATGGTTTTCTTTTAGTAAAATAAGAATCGAAATATGAAATTTAACAATCACCCCCAAAACCTTAATTACGGTTTACTTACATATGTAGTTGTAGTTATTACTTATGTAGTTGCTTTTAAAACCATTTTCAGTTTCTTGCCGGTTTTACAAACCAAAAAAAAAAAACTTAGAGTGGTTATTTGTCAAGACTTCGGTGTTTTATGCGTCTTTGCCTAGTAAACACTTATTTTAACTTTGGTGATGCTTTGACGCACTATTTTATAGACATCAGAAACGTACTGAGTTGATTTAAAAATGTCGCTTAATAACGAGTAAAATGAATTTGTATTTTCAAGAACCAGTTTTTTTCTTATTTATTTATAAATGGACAAAGAAGAAATTAATTTGTATTACATTTGGGTGTCCTTATTCTTTTGGCAACTATGCAAAAAAAAAAATTTAAATTAACGATATTTTTAAACCTACATGAATTACAAATTACGTAAATGCGTGTGTGCAGAAATTCATCAAGCTAAAGCCTCTTATTTTTAATCTATAATTGTTGAAAATACATACCTAATCTACGCGACTACGTTCGCATTTATTTAACCACATATTGGACATTTCCATTATGGTTTAGAAATAAAAGAGCATGATGTTTTGGCTTGATGCATTTCTGAATACACCAAATATATACATGCAGTAGGAAATTAGTTTTTGCCGCTAAGTAAGACATCGATGGTCCTCTGCAATAACGGCACATTCCAAAATTCAGAAAATTAAAACTCCTACTGTTAAGTGTCTTATATCCTTAATTTTTGTCTAATCCATGTCGAATCATTACTACTTACTTAAGGGATCCTTACCCCTTACTTTATTAGGGACAAGACGTGGATTATACAAGGATAAGATATTAATTTTTGAATTTTGGATTGCGTCGTTATTGCAGAGGATCATCGATATGTATTTTTGTATTATATTTAAATTTTCAATCAACGCTTAGCGCCATCTCTCCGCAATCTTTCTTTCCATTATGTCAATTAACCGCTGGCGCTCCATGATAAAGTCCCATCATTGCCTCTTGCAAGGCACGCTGACAAGCCATATGTGCCCGATAACCGCCAGCGCGCTCAGCGCTATTTTCAGGCCGTATATGTGTAATGAAACCTTTTGCCTCAACATCAGCGCCGCTGGGCGGAGATGGCCCTTCCATGTACAATGTCGGCATTTTGTGCACATAGAGTGGTCCCTCCTCCGTCTTTGGCAATGGCAGGAACATTTGATCGGTAGAACGTCCGAATTTGATGCCCGTCGAGAATTCTGTTGTTGGTTTGGGCGGTGGTACCTTCTTTTCTTCTTCGCGCAGTTTTTCCACTTTCTCAGCAAATTCATTTACAATTTCTGATGCATCTTTACCACTGCACATCAGTTCGTCGATGAGCGCCTCCTTCTCGCGTGCTTTCTTTTTCTTTTGCTCTGTTTCTAATTCGGCTAATTCCTGACGACGCGCCTCCTCTTGTGCTTGCTCCAGCTCGAGCATCTCCTCCAGTTCGTACTCCTCACGTCCCATGCGTGTCTTGTTACGTTGTATGATATCACGATTTTCACGTCGATATGCTTCGATGCGTTTATTTGTGCCAAGAATGTCGATGTTATTGCAGAGATTGTAGATTATAGTTTCAATTTCTTCCAAGTAGTCATTGTACTCTTGCAATGTTGCGAAATCGTCTTCCTTTTTATTGTAATCGCGTAACACACGTTTCCTTATATCCACTTCCTTTTCAACCATGGGATCTTCGAAGAGTTGTACGCGAAAATTGTTACGCCGTAACGGCACCATACACTCGGGGCATGATCCGGATCCTTTCAGAAAAAGTAGATCAACGCAAGATTCGCAGAGCGTGTGACCACAAACGTTGACCATCAGCTTTAGCGATGGGTTGCGATATTTGGTTGTTTTGCAACGCGGACATGCCTGGTCCTCCATGCTGACAAGAGCACTTTTTGTTTAATACAGCAAAATTTGTAAACTTTTAAGAACCTGCAAAATATAAAATGTTATTTCGGCGAATGCGGCGTTTTCCCAAATCGAGTGCACAAAACAAATGCGGCGACAACCGCCAGCAGACAGCTGTTTTTGACGTTAGTTCATTAGAAATTCATGCCACCCTGTGTATGCATTTATCGATAGCAAACTAAAGGGTGTATGCAAGTAATTTGTTTTAGAAAACTATTAAAAATTCTTCTGTTATGATAGGATATAATTTGAAATGTACTCAGCTGAAAAAGTTATATTCGTAATAGGAACGCAGTCGGCACTACTCTCGAAACTACTCTCGAGTTTTCGAAAACAAATTAAGCTCTACCCAGAATTGCAGCGGACGACGGTAAAAAGCGGTCGACGGTAACCGCTGTCAAAATCAAAACTCACAAAGATTGGTTGATTTCGGTTGGGGGGGGCGGCATATTGTTGATTATAGAAATTTCAATTTTTTTCACAAGTTTGCATATGCTTCTAACCATTTTTATTCCCAGCATATATACACACACGCACGTACTCAACAAATA